TGTTTACTTTCTGTGACAAAGAATCCAACAACTTTGATGGCTTGCTTGTACTTGTTACTGAAATCATTCAAAACTAGTTAAAGAGGAAAGTATTATTTCTTCCACTTGCTGCAATTTATCAGAACAAGTCATTATTTAGTAGTTTTTTTTTGTCTGACATCCTAAATGTTCTGTGTACTCTATATGTAACAAATATATACTGAATAGCTATGTTGTTAATGAAGGCACCTAATAATTAGGATATATGGGGGTGACTCAGTAATATTAAGTTGTTTTTCAAAGAATATTCTAACATGCAGTGTATAAATTCATGCTCAACTTTCATGCCAACTTATTAGACCCACAGCTGATTTGAACTACGTGAAAGGGTGAAAATGAAAAATGTTATTCAGAGAAAACAGATGTTTAACATCTTCATTATGTTCCAAACAGCATAACTGATGCCGGTTGAACACTAGTAAATGTATAGATAAATAATGGTTTGAAGAAATAACTGACTTGAGAAGCATAGCTTATCTCACACAAAAGAAATATTATAACAGCAGTCTTAGCACAGGCTATTAAGATTTTATGTAGATTTTATGTAGATCAAATACCATAACACTAAGCACAGGGTATGTTCTACTGAAATACCCTGCATATAGCATACACAAATAGATGATTCACCATTTGCCCTTTTTGTATATTGCCAGTGAATACATTGAAAGTGAATGGTGACTGGAGCAACATCATCTTTTATGGTCAACACATAAATACTGGTTCCAAACAACATTAGGAACAGATGATGATGATCTTTGGGTGTGAACAACCCCTTTAATCACAATGGCTAACATAATTGTGATTCCTATAGGGTTCCTGCTCATTGTGATGTTTTTCATTTACTTTTGAAACTTTTCATAGAAATGTCTGGATGACATTAGCGCAGAAACGAGCAAAAGCAACCTCGTTCAGTAATGCTTTTCACTGTATTCTCTCACCATTGTTTAGTTAACCCAAGTGGGCTCTGTGTTGGTGCACAGCTGAGCCAATAGCGTATCATCGTGGGCTGGCTTTCTGCTATGCACGAGGAAACTATCGTAACTGATGGGTGTAGACATACTTCTCAGCCAATCATGTGCGTCAAGAGGAGGGGCTATGGAAGCGTTTCAACCAATCACGTTGGTTTAGAGGCGGGAGGAACACAGTGTTACTTGCGCAATGTATTTGACACTCCTCTCGACCAATGATTGGCATGAGTGGGCGTGGCGACTGAAAATTTCGTCCATCTAAATCATTTGTGGGCATGTATAATATTGACATGTCCCGCCCACTGACCGGTCTGCAGACTCACACAAATACAGTTGTGTGCTTCATAAAAATGCACTCAGATGCGTCAAGTAAGTACAATAGTACGTTTTCACTACTATTCGTATTCTGTCGACCTGTAATGGCAATTGCGAACTTGCTGCACCCTGACAAGTCGCCGTGACTTCTTTTAAGATGCATGATTCGCTGTATTGACGCATTTTGTGAGCAAAGTAGCCGTTACCCGAGCATACAAATCATCAGATTGACTCTGAGCTTGCTAGCTGCTCTCTTTGTGTTTTTACTCCGATGTCTTGGGCGCTTGCAAGCGACAACGACCTTGCAAGGAATAACGCTGCATTTTAGCCTTTGCTTTAATATATACAGCAATCCGAGAGCAAGGTATCTAATCCTATTTACACAATACACTTGCACACTAATTACCTTTAATACCCAAATTACCTTAAGGGATCAATCTCCTCACAACTCGAGTGAGCAGTGCAAACCAACCAAACAGCAAGTGAAAGATTGCTTTTTAGAGCTAAACGGGTCGGTTTTTTCGAGAAAACTGCGGAAAAATGACAGGGGTAAAAATTGTGACGCAGTTGTGTAAAATATTAGTGCTTGCAAACGCGTCGAGTATGATCTGGCGCATTACTGTACGTCCCTCTGAAAGATCAACTGCATATCGTTGTGAAAGAAATGTCTTTGATCAAAGACAAAAAATATTTTTTGCACCGTTTGGGTCGCATTCATCAGTTGGGGAGAAGTACCGATTGAAATTATGATTTGAGGAATTCTGGGAAATGTGGTTTATTCAGCCGAACCATTTGATTGGCAAACACAGTCGTTGTTTGCCATTAGACTACATTCCCCAGAAGTCCACAGACTCTCCAGATACTTTGTAAAGTCGTTGCAAGTTGTGCGTGTATACACTCATATGTGAACTAACGTTATGTGGCAGAAAAATCCTGTTTTTAACTGCAGTCAATTATAGAGATATGAATGTTTGAAATGTGTTGATGTGAATTCGACTTAGTACCGTTTCTTACATGTTTGGGGTATTTCATATCCACTGGCATTCCTGACAACTGCGTCACACGTTCACAAATAGTCTCATTTTACGTCGAGTTTGCTTTAATAAGGTCCTGGATTATACACCGAACAATGTTTAAATTGGATACCTTTCATCAACTCTGAATTTAATGTTGTTTCAGGGGCTTGTCTACTCGCACATCGCTTGTACAGAAAGGCCTGCACCGAAACGTAATTTTCTAGATCTGAATAACGAGAACGTGGAAGTTTATAGTGTGTGCAAAATGAATCATAATGCATATGTCGTTTTTCACATTGCTACGTCGGTCTTTAATTTCTCAAAAAATTCATAATACTAACCTAGTTTTCATATAAGTTACATCAAATATAAGCAGCAAGCATTTATAGTACAGAAGGGATTACTAT